CTACTGCTTTGCTCTTTGTCTGTGAAGCCTATTAGACCCTCTCTTTACATATCTTCCGAATTGTAAATTATGGATCTGGTCAGCTGATCGCTCAAGGAAATTGATAACATTTTCTTGACGAGAAGACAGGGCGAAGGAGAGCTCTCTTGCTCTGATGGGGCACTTGCAGCTGGATACACGATGGATTCCTGGGAGCAATGGAAGATTGTGTGTATGTCTGTTTTGTCTGTTGAGGATGTAGAAGACACAATAATTGGATTTATGATAACAGGATTTCTGCTTTTTGGAGTTGGCATACCTGGCATATCGACAAATATTGAAAAAGTTGGCGCCTGTTCTGGCCATTGTAAGGCTGCATGGCTTGTGTGAAGGAATGTGCTGTGCGGTGAGCATTCAGACTCAGATGCTATGTGAGCTGAGCTGTTAGCTGGACACGATTTCTGAGAATCGCAGGCCACTTGCGGCTCCTGAAACTCACTGGCGAGAAGGAATCGACCTTAGAGAAGCTACAAGCTTGGCCCGGCGGTGTTGACCACAAAATTTGGCTGTTTGGAATCGCCATTGAGACGGACCAGTAGAACTATAAAGTAGACAAAAATTAAGCAGTCAGCCTGACCCAAAATAACTGTTATTTGAATCTGGCTCCCCCCATGTCAGTCTTGAATTGGTCAACTATCTCAAACTCTCCTGGATGTTATGTGAACAAGAAGCTCTGTTCCTTGCCTCTTCGGCCTATCTGCTAAGTCATCAGGCAGCATCTGCAATATCTTGTCACTTATCACCGAATGGAGCTTAGCTTACCTCAGCTTAGCATAGCTTCAGTGTAAGTGCCCATTCTCCTGTACGTTTTGTCGTTTGGAAATTTACTCCCGTGTATAATACAACCTCTCAAATTTATGGGTGCTTTTTTGGGTTAAAGTTTTAGTATTATACACAAATAAATATGGTAGTCTTTTTTGTGTCTTTATATGCCTTCAAGAACGTGTTTTCTGGAGATAGGTAGATTTTCATACCTCCTCACTGGCTCAGTCAACTGCTCCTCAAAACTATCCATTGTATAGTAGTCCCTCGTTTATCGTGGGGGATCCGTACCCTGAAGCCCCGCGATAAGTGAAAAACCGTGAAGTAATAAGTAGTAGTTTAGTTTAGTATATACACACACACACACACATATGTATATATATATATATATATATATATATATATATATATATATATATGCATATGTATATGTATATATATATACATATATATATATATATATACATATATATATATATGCAGCAGACAGCAACAGACTTTTTACAATCTAACTAATCAAGGTTTAAGTTTTTGGCCAAAAAGACCAATTTGTACACATTTTCTGTCAAAAGCACAGATCTAGATGCAGAGAATATCACCAGCAGTGGAGAAAACCACTCACTAACAACAGTAGCAGGAATAAAGAGGTAGAGCTTTGCTAATTTTGCAGTGTGGCTGTATTTGTCCTCGTCTTTCCACCAAAGAAGAGAGTCAGCTTCAAAGAAAGGGCATCCTGAAGCTCTGTACTCACAAACTTCTTCTTGGACCTGCTCCAGAAGAGACTTGCTACTTCCCATCTGTCCCTGGAAAAGTTCACAAAAGAGTTCAGTCATCACAGACTTCTCAGCTGGAGGTGATCTGGGGAATGATTTTTCTGAAGAGGAACTCAGTGACATCCTCAGACTGCAAACCACACAAAGAGGTAAAAAAAAATTGAGTTAATAAGATGATAAATTTTAAATTAAAAATTTAATTAGATAAAAATAATAAAATAACAATACCTCTTCTTGAACGGCCATAATTTCTGTTAAGAGGTGGTTGAATCTCTCGTTCATCATCATCATCATCATCAGGGCAGGGCTTTATTCTGGTCCAGGGCTTGTTGACAATCAGTTTTAGCTTTTTCATAAAGTGCTGTTACAACTTTTTGGCTGAAGTATTGACGTGATGTCATAGCGGGGCTCAGTAACTTTAAATCCGGCACATAAACAACAGAATACGGACGTAGATCTAGAGATTTAAAAACTCCTACAGCTTGTGTTATTGCTCTGGACCGATCTGAATTACCTGATAAAGGTTGTTTAAATGCTGCTGTTATTGGTCTTTGCACCAACCAAGCTGCTATTCTGTAGAAGAGACGTTCACTTTCAGATGATGTCATTTCAAGTGTGTTAACAAGTTAGCCGTGTTGCTGCTGCAGATCCAATCTTCGTGAAACAACGTCGACACACAGCTTTGGATTTGTTCACTTGTCTTTTAACAAAAAAGCCATAATGTTCCCTAACAGGAGACCGCAACAAGATGCTAGGCTGCAACTGCTATTCGTGCTGCAAGATAATAGCACCATGCTGATACATGCTTAGGAACTTTAGTTCCGCGGCGCATAATCTCTCGTTAATGTAATTTAATGAGTGAAAAAATAACTGAAACGGTTCAATACACCCACATGTACCGTTACACCCCTAATATATACATTAAGGCATTTTAAACCCTTCCCACATGTTTGCAATGTTCTAAACAATGTTTCTAAACTCTAAATGCTCTAAAAGTGCACAGAATGTTATCAACTCAACTCTGCCACGGCTGCACTCTGTGCTCTCGACCACGCCCACTTCTCCGCTGCAGAATAGAGATCGACAGAGGCGGAAGGAGGAGGACCTGCAGCAGGAGGAAGTTTCTCCTGCAGCATGGGCTGCACAAAGGTGCAGCAGGTGCTAAATAATTTAAAATAATTCATTTTAAATAAAAATTACACGCCAATCGTGCGGCTCATTCATCAATCAGCCAAATGTGCATCGTGTCCAATGTTGAAAAACCGTGATAGAGCGAGTCCACGAAAAACAAACCGCAAAGTAGCGAGGGACTACTGTACTTCCTAACCAGTGGAAAAACAGAAACTTTTTTATGTTCTAAATCTGTGCCCACTTCAGATTTCTGACCCAATCACAAAATAGTTCTTGGACACCACCAAGAACAAAGTTCTGCTCAGGTGATACATTGAGAACAAGATGCTAGAACTCTCATAACAAAGCTGTGAGAGAAAATTATGTAATTCTTTCCCTGCATTTCTTGAAGGAGGAGAAAGTTCTGCCTTCTAGTGAAGTACGTGGAGCCTGTAGTTAAACCATCAGGCTCAAGACTGGACCTCTTGCAGCTCTATTGTACTGTTAAATCAGCAGCTACCACAGACAGTTCAGACTGATGTCAGTCCTGTGGTCCTTCAGGAAAACGTCTTGCAGGGCAGATAAAAGCTGTCACTGTCTGCTGCTACATACGGCATGCAAAGGAGACATCTAACCAAAACAAAGTCCCGTAACTCCTTTTTATCTCATGCAAATCTTGCTTTCAAATAATTTTCCAAACAAATGTGAGGTGAGCAGAACCGGCAGACAAAGATCACTTTGCGGAGTGCAGAGCTCTCCTTTCTGAAGAAGCATGTTTGTCTTAGCTCCACGTCTGGGTTGTTGTTTGCAAAAAACACATTTTTCTCTGCTGAGTGTCCCGATTTTAGGAAAAATTCGATCATCAGATTACGCAGTACAGTAAGATTCTCATTTATTGAGGCTGATAGCAGGCAATAATGTTTTGGCTTGCTCGTGAGTGTGCATGTGCTCATCTATCAGTTAAAATGTCTCACGAACCACTGGATGAATTTTAATGAAACTCAAAGTAATTATTGGATGGACATGTTTATTACTGGAAAACAGATGCATCTGTTTTCACTAATATCATTGCTTCTTTTTTTTACAGATATGGATTCTGTTTTGTTTGAGTCACTTGTTTGTTTATGTTGTTTGTTTTTATGTTGTGTACTGTGGCTTTTGTAACCAACCAACAAAATCCACCAAAATACTTACTGAGTCTTGAATCTACTTGAATCTACAACTGAATAACTTTTGAAGTCACCCCCAAAAATGGCCACCTCAGCTAATCGACATTAGCCTGCACAAAAATATCTTGAACTCTGGCAGTTTTTACCAATATTGAGCCAAAGACTTGGTGTGGTAGTAGCTGAGAGTCATTCACATGTAACACATACTGAGGTGTGGCTACATTTAGAAGAGTCACTATCTGTTTTGCCATGTTACAATCATACAATTATTTATATATCATCCCCAGTGTTTCTCTTACAGGGTGGATCCGGGGGGTCCTCCCCCAGAATTTTTTGAATAAATAGATGTGATTTCTTGCATTTTGGTTTATTTTAACGGGTTATTAAACATCTACATTTGTAAACGCTCGCATCCTACCTCCTCACCTTACTTGACTGTTCCGAGCCAACTCTGCTGAATTCACTGTCCGACTCCACATGTGAAACCTCCCGATACTCACCCCCACCACTCTTTAGGGGCAGAGATTTGTTTTATTTACTTATTTATTTAAGGGTAGAGGTGTAAATGCTTCACTTGAAGGGGCAGATGATCGTGTGATATTAAGAAGTCGTGTTGTGTTTAAAATGCTTGCTGAGCATGCATCAGGATATGTTTAAAATGAGTGTTTATATAACTATTTTCAGTTTACATATCCAATATAAGTTTTATTTGTTCAAGGCAGTCATATTTGTTCATAACGTTAGAGTTGCCGTATCCGAGCAAACAGTTACTGAAACGCACCGTGTCAAAATGAGCGAGTTCCCAGATCCTGTCCCAGCAGGATCCAACTCCAGTGAATCCCTGGATTGCTCCCTCCGCTCACCAGCACCCATCACTCGGTGCTGCCTCGGACAAGCATGAAAAATAAACCTACCTCTATTGTTATAGATAGTTTTAATGTGATGATAGTGAATATCTTGCACCAAAAACAGTTTTACATTCTCTGTTCAGTTCCAGTCCAGAAACACACTCATCTCTAGAACTACAAACATCCACTTTTCAATCCTCTCAGTGATGAGGGACATTGGCATACTGCTTGTTTATTCCACATTAAAAACATCGCTTCAGGTGCTGGTGTTAATATGTTCTCTGCTTGTCTTTGGGCAGAGCTGTTCCCCAGTGGCCTCGCAGCATTCAAGAAGATCAGCTTCAACATTGACGAAGAAGCAGCCATGAAAGAAGACACAGGAATGCAGGATGTTTATTATACTGAGGTGATATGAGTATATTGCAATTGAAGGAATACAAAGAATCCTTTGAATAGTTTGGTGACGTTGTTTGATGTCTGTCCCATTTCAGGAGGTCCTGGTGGAGCACCTGGAGGTCTGTGTTGAAGCTCTGTGGAAAGCCGAACGCTACGAGCTCATCACGCACATCGCCAAGCTCATCATCCCCATCTACGAGAAGCGGAACGAGTATGAGGTCAGGAGATTTGTTTGTACATTTTTATTTAAAGTTTAAAACAAACACAACGGGTCACTGAAACAAATTGAAAATGACAAAGGTAATAAAAACAGAGTCAAACTCAACCATAAAAATCTATTGTTTCTTTTGAATTTTAGCTCAACAGAATTATTAAAATAAAAAATAAGCTGGCTTTGACAAAATGGATGATACCTGTAGAAAAGATCAAAACGAGTTAGACCACAGGGTCCTGTTAAACTCAGGTGTGCTCTGTGGACCAGAACACCTGTGGACAGATGGACCAGAACACCCGTGGACTGATGGACCAGAACACCCGTGGACAGGTGGACCAGAACACCCGTGGACAGGTG